TGTCCTCTCTGTGAGGGGCTGGTAAGCAACGATGTGGCCCGAAAGTGAGGAGTGGGTAAGGGAGATGGGGGGTGAGGAGGCACAGGTGGGCGGCGACTGTTCAGGCTTCGGAGTCAGACAGATGCGGTTGACCTTGGACTCGGCTACTCCCTGATTTTGTGACAGAGGCAGGGCTTTGGACTCCTCGTGGCTGAAACTGGAGCAGTTATTGTAGCCAGGGCTCTTTTCACTGGAAGCTAGCTCCGGGTAAAAGAGGTACCAACCACCAGAAGATAGAAACATGTCAGTGTCCTGGAAGGACCAGAGCCTTGTAGCGCCGGGCTGTACAGGGATTCCACCAGAAGGACAGGAGAGCAGTTCCCTCTGCCCCTGTCTGCTCTCCCCCACTCGGCTTTCCCTGATGTCTTCCACACGTGGCATCAGGTGGCTCCCCACGTGGCTACATCTGTGTGATTGTCCAACTTCAGTGTCCCTTAATGTTTCTTAGCATAGATTTCTGAAATAGAGGCCTGTGGACCCAGCTCAATTTTTTGAGGCAAGCCACACATTTCAGAGGTTCTGGCCAAGCCTGGATGAGCCAGCCGTGGCCCCGCAGGCCACCTCACTTGGTCCGGTGAGCGGAGGCCAGAGCGTGTGTGGCGAGGTGGTCCTGATGGTCCAGAAGGAGGCAAGGCCTGGATATGAAGCATGTACGAACTTTAACCGGAAGGGCTGATGTGTCCCTGCTGAGTTTGCTTTTCTATCCTCCAGGATGGTTATTTCATGCCTGCTCTTTCCTCCAGCCTACCTCCCAACTCCTCAGACTTCTCCCATTTCACGCAGAAAGTCCAAGCCTCTCATTCCTACTGCACAGTACAGACCTGTCTCCTCCTGTCCCGTCTTCTTCGCCTGCCACCCGTTGGATTCGAGGTTGTGCCTTTGCGTCTCTCCAGGGCAAAGCGGCCCTTCTGGGCCCTCCGCTTGCTCGCCCAGATGTCCCCACGTTTTCAGCGTCAGTTCCTGTCCTGCCTGCGCACGGGCTTCCCGCGCGACCTCAGACCAGTTGTCCAGGCCGGTGCTGGTCAGGGTGCCGGCCTGGAGCCGTGTATCACGAGTCCTCCCGGGATTCGGGAGCTTGCGCCAGGATGCCGGGCAGCTGTGCACGATGCCTCAGTCCCGCTGACTGTTCTTCATGGCAGAACGTTGTCGGCGAGGGAAGCGGAGTGTTCACTTGCCTTCTAGCGCAGGCTTCTCTCAGAGGAGCAAGAGTTTGTGGACGACGCTGTAGTCGCCCTAGTCTGAACCCTCCCCTCTCGCTCTGCCGAGGTCACTCATGTCCGACCTTCACGTTGCCAACACCAGCAGAGGCTCTCAGGAGCATTGGGAAGCAGTGCCCTTCTTGACTCTCATGGTCACCAGGACTTTCTGTTCTGCTTCTCCCCTTCACTTGCCTCTTCTCTGCAAGCTTCTTCGCTTGCTCGTCCCCTACCCGCCCTCCAACCGTCCCGTGCTGCGGGGGCCCAGCCGAGCCCGTTTCTCCGTCTGCCTTGCCTTCCGTGAGCTCACCTTGTCCAAGAGGTGATGACTTCCGAATATAGATCTGCAGCCCTGAACGAGCTCCTGACTCGTTGCTCCAGCCGCCTCCTTGATATTTCCATGGCGATGTCCAATAGGCATCCTCGCCCATGGATCGGTGTGAGCCGAGCACTTACTGTTCTTTCTCAAGTCTGCCCCTTCTCCCTCAGCTCGTGAGGCAGGATCACCACCCAGCCAGCTGCTCAAGCTCCCAACTTTAGGTTCGCCTCCTGTGATTTCTGTCAGCTGTGCCCCCAAAGTATGGCCCGACTGCACCCTCCTCCGGGTCACCACTCCCTCTCCCAGACGGAACCATCCCCCTCGCACCCCGGCCTGCTCCAGGAGCCTCCCTTTTCATTCCCCCATGCCCTGCTGTCCACGGGCCAGCTCGAGGGAGCTTTTGAAAGCCCGTGCCTCCCTGTGTGAAGGCCTTCAGGACCTCGTGCTGCTCTTGGAATAAAAACGTGGCTCCTTACTATGGCCTGTGAGCCCCCGGATGACCTGGCGTCTGCCCTCTCCAGGTCCATCCCACACTCTCCTCCTGGTTCCTTCCACTCCTGCTGTTCTATCCCACTTTTGTCCCCCCTGGCCCCCTTCCTTCTCCTCCGGTGTCATCTCAGAGATGTTGTCCCTGATTCTTGGGCCCTGGGGAGAGCGTGGGGCTGTGGCTTGAGGCCCACGGCATAGGTGAGTGAAAGCAGGGAGGCTGCCCACTGTAGCCTAGCGGAGGGCCCAGAAGTCAGGCCTGCATGTGCATCCTTCACATCCTGACCAGACCTGTATTGTCCCCAGCAACTTGAGGCTTTTTTCCTAAGCCTCCAGGAACTTCTGAATGCATCTCGCAGACATCAAGAGCTGGTCACCACGGAGGCTGCTGCCCCTGAGAGCTAAGGTGGGGGTGCCGACAGCCACTGAAGGAGCAGGCCCAAAGTCAGGGCCCGCGCTGTGAGCCAGAGCTGCCGGGGCCCTCGCCACCCTGGGCTCCGGGGCTGCCTGCCCGTGCCCGGCCCCGTGAGGGGTCCTGTGAGCGGCAACAGTGGCCCCTCCATTTTTCATAGACCGACAGGCCATTAACTCCACGGGGTAAGAGCTGCAGATCAGAGGGCGGCTAATGCTTGTGTCTTTGTAAACAGTTTTGTGAGGCCATGTCGGGGATGGGGGGAGTGTGGTTGCAGAGCCGGCAGGGGATGCTGCCCCTGCTGATGCTGTTTACGGACTGTGTGACCCGTGACAGCACAGTTCTTCTCCTGCTCCTTGGTCTCCTCACCTCTCAAACGGGGATTAAGGCTGTTCCATCCGGCAGCTAAGAGGCACTGAGTGCCTTGTCCACGCCACGCACTGCGTTACAGGTTCTTGTCTCGTCCTCAGCACGTCCGCTGAGGGGCACGCCACCGTGCTTAGCCCCTCCCAGGGGGTAGCCGGGGCGTAGAGAAGCTCAGGGAGGCTGCCCGGGGTGGCGGGCAGGTGAGCTGTGGGGAGAGGAAGCCGGCTCTGCCTGGCTCGCGGCCTGTCCTGCGCCCCCGTGGGCGGCCAGAGCACCGTGGATGTGGGCCCTCTCCAGTGCTCACGGTCAGCCTCTGCGACAGAAGCTGCTCAGATTGTTCAGCTGATGACAGTGGGGCCCGGTGAGGCGAACGGACCTGCCTGCAGCCGTTCAGCCGGTCAGTGGGATGTCCTGGGTTGGACCCCAGGTCCGTCTGAGTGTTCTGGGAAAGACTCGGAAAGGAGAACTGGTAAAGCAGGGATTCCTACACTTGTCAGGTGGCAAGAGAGTACTAGTGAGTATTTTTAAAAGCCTAATGGAAATTGTACACTTGCCAAAATAGGGCTGCCCTGAACTTTAATATTTGCCTTTGGCTGGCCTTATGCCATCCCAGTGCACGAAAATTGGTCATCTTGCACCATAAGAAACTCTACCCAATGTGGCTAATACAGACAAAAATCCCGGGTCCACATGCGATGAGAGGACTGGTAGGAGATGAACATCCCTCTGCCAACAGTTAGGTCTCATACAAGACCTCTTCTGTCTCAGAAGCCCCTTTCCAGATTCTGCCATTTAACATGGTCACTTAGGTGTAAATGCCATCTTCCTCATCAGCGTGGTGACAGGCCACCCACTGCCCTGGGACAAAACTGCACACACAAGATCGTGTTACAAAAGTCCCTTTGTTCGAAGAGTACTGCCCCCCTGCCTCCGAGAGCATCTAACTCCACGCTAGTCCTGGGATACCATGATGGACGGATGTCTTTTTTGTCCAGTACCCAGCCGCCACCTCTTGGCCGTGTTTAGAAAACATTCCACCTACTGTAGAGACTCAGAGGCTGGGCTGGGGGCATCCCGAGTCTGATGCACACGGGAGCTGGTGGCGCAGAGAAGCCAGGCGCTCGGCAGTTCATCCCGGATAGTGACCGCGGCGGCACCAGGGACCGCGGTGGGGGCCTCAGCACCTCGTGCTCCAGTGGCAGGGTCTGGGTGGTGACATGGTGTGAGTTGGCCTCTGGTTATGGCCGCGCCGGCTCCCTCGTGCTGCTCATTTCCTGAGCCTGGTCCTCTGGCCGTTCTGGGGACCCTGAGAGGCGCCAGACACCTTCTCAATCTCATTGTCAGCCAAAGAGCTAAAAATCCGACTTGTCTGGAGCTGTTGCTCCAGACGAGGTTTTCTAACAGGTTTGTAATTCATTCCCAGGCCCCTGACAGCACGACTTCACCACCTGAGCACCTCCTCAGGGCACAGAATGTACCAGAATCCTAGTTTGAGTGGGTGGCCGGACCGCAGGCTCAGCCAGTCTCTGTTGTCTGTCTGACCCAGATCTCCACTCTGCTGCAACCCACGGGGCACCCCCGGACCGTGGGCGCCGTGAGGGTGGGACGGAGTGCTCCACCTCGTCCCCAGCTCCTCGAGCAGTGCCCGGCACACGGGAGGTGCTTAGGAAGGTGTGATGGATGGGTGAACCAGTGCCAAGACGGAGAAGCCCATGCCTCCGGGCTCTCTCTAGCCGCAGGGAGGCTGAGCTGGCCTGTGATCAGGCCCAGGGCTTGGGCAAGATGCAGTCACGTGCCTGGAGTCCGCAGGTGGCCTGCAGCTGGCCACTGAAGCCTGGCTGGGGAGGCTGCGGCACTCAGAACAGTGAGGGGAGCAGGTGCCCCTCTCCTCTGAGTGGAGACCACGTGCTTTCCAGGCCTTCCATGTCACACGTGCACAGAGACCCTAAGTGAGCAGGCTGGAGACCCACTCCCCGTTTGCCGAGGGCGCTGGAGCCCCAGGGTACATCCCACTCACCGCCACACCTGCTAGATAGAGGGGCTGACATCTGTTGCATGGGCCCTACTGTTCCTCGCCCCCCCCCGCCCCCGTCTTCTGAGCTGTAGGTTAGCAGTTGCCTTTCACTTCATAGTTTCTTTTCCCTTTCCCCCCGTTCATTTTTAATCATCGTTCTCTCCCCAGGAGGTTCAGCACCTTGACCACAGGAGCGTGGCCCTTCCTTCCAAACCCTCTCCAGACGTACCCTCCCAGCATTACTCGGGAAAGATGCGGCAGCTCAAAGGCAAGCCCAAGAAGGAGACGTCCAAGGACAAGAAGGAGCGGAAGCAGGCCATGCAGGAGGCCCGGCAGCAGATTACCACGGTGGTGCTGCCCACGCTGGCCGTGGTTGTGCTCCTGATCGTGGTGTTCGTGTATGTGGCCACGCGCCCCGCCGTCACCGAGTGAGCGCAGGGGGCAGACTCCCCCAGCAGGGAGCCGAAGCCCGGGAGGGGAGGGGGAAAGCGAAAGAAAAATGGCTTTCGTATTCAGAGATTTTTCCTGATGCTGAGCTCTAAGCTGGAGCACCCTGTCTTCTCTGGTCTTTGACTTGATTAAAGTTTCTCCAATTTCCCTGGGAGGGAATAGGGAACGTTTTATCAGTGAATGTGCCATACACCTTATGGTCCACTTCATGTGCCTTTCAGACTTCAAAGCAGTGTGTGTGTGTGTTTCTTTTTCACTCCTGAAATCGATAATGTAGCTCCACCTGGTGAGAGGAGGAATCTTCTGGGTCATGAATCAGTTGGAATCAGTGCTCACCCCATCCCCATTGTTTAGAACATGACTCTTTGCCTACATGTGGTTCACGATTTCCAAAGGGACTGTATTTCTTCTCTGTGCTTAATGTGATTTGAAATATGTCGACTCAAAAGTGAAATATTTATTTTTTGAATAAAGGAGATAATAGCCTTAAACTGGGTGTTTATCTTGCTTTGCCAGGAGGTGGCCTTGCTCTGAGGGAAGCGCAAGGAGGTGCTGGGCACCCTCTCCGGGAGGCCGTGTCCCTCTTCTCTCCCCGCCACCCCCACCCCCCCCCCCCCCACCAACCTTCTCTACCTCCTCTCTGCTCCCTGCTTGAATCACTTCCAGGATGGCTTTTGCTTTTTGTCTGGATCGGTTGAAGATTGAGAGACTCTTGAGAGGGGGAAGACAGGGTGCACTAATTGGTCTGTTTGAGCGAAGGAAGAGTTCTAATTGGAATATGACTACAAGTGCTTTTTACACCAGTTAGAAACAGCAACGGGGAAGTGGTCCTGGAGGGAAAGGTCAGGCTCGGTTCTGTTCCCGCTGAAAGGATGCAAATTGTTTGCAGTCCAGCTGAGTTTTTGATGCAAATTGGCCCTGCCAGAAAGGTTCTGCATTGTATTCTCAGGGCATTGTGAGCCTGGCCCTGGTTCCCGAGGGAGTGACCCCTTTTTGGAAGTCAGATTCATGATGACTATTGTGAGGGTGTTGGTCCGCCCATCATTGCTGATTACAGAGAGGTTTGTGGGGAGAGAAGTGCTTTTCTAATCACGGTGGCTACATGACTTGCTCACTGATGGCTCAGGCGGTTACTGGGGCCATAGGGCCTCTTGGAGCGAGTTTCTCAGGAAGACGAAGCAGCTGTTGGAAGGAAGGACCCCAACTGGTGCCCTGCATTCCTGGGCCTCAGTGGGGCTGACAGAGCTCCGTGGGCCCCTCTGTGAGAGCTGGTCTCAGAGGGAGATGCTGCGTGGCCTTGGGCCCATCAGGTGCCCGTGGCCCTGGGGAAGAGATTTACTAAAATATTTATCAAATGCAGAGGCTGCTAGCCTGTAATGTTTCTTAAGTTTCTATTTTTCTCTCCCTTGTTCGGTTCTCTTCCGAGCCCCAGTGTTTGTGGTCTGGGAAAGGCTGAAGGCCATGGCCTCAGGGACCTGCTCATTCAGGTGCAGAGCAAAAAGGAGGCATTCCTGTTCTTCACAGCGGCCGCAGGGCCACTGAGATGCGGAGCTATGCCCCCTTCTGTCCCGAGAGTGGCTGTTGGGGCTGGTGCAAGGAATGCCCATCCACTCCGCTAGAAGAGCCCGGGCCATGTGTTGCGTGATCGCCTGGTCTGTGTTTAGTTCCCAGCCTACGCTCAGAACAGTGGAAGCGCACCGAGTCTCAGTTTCCCTGTCCGTAAATAACTGGTCAAGTCACTTCTTGGGAAGTGGGCCATCTAGTAGAAAACGGGGCTGATCGAGCAAACCTGGGTCTTTATGCAGGTTTTGCTGCCAGAACCCCTCTTGAGTCCACTACCTCACGTGAAAGTGGAGGTTATCTTGCCTCATAGGGTTGATGGGAGGAATCAATTGCAACAGTAAATTTGTAAAGCCAGGTCCGGCTCTTGGGACATAGTGGCTACTCTATGAATAGTAATGGTAGCTCAGCATTTTACACATATTAACTCACATATTTCTCATACAGCCCTAGGAGGTAGGTACTGTTAGTACTCAGTTGTACAGATGAGTAAACTGAGGCAGGCCAAGAAACTTGTCAGTATCTGATAACAAGTAAGTGGAGAAGCCCAGGTTTGTTTGTTTTTATTTTTATACTTTTGTTATGGGCAATTCCAAGCATATATAAAAATAGAATAATACGACATACCTCATGGAGCTATTGACCAGTGTCTGCAAGCCAGCACATGGCCACTCTTGTTCATCCATCTCTGCTGCCCCCACCCCCAGCCATCCTCTCGTGCACACACACATTGTGTCGTTTTGCAGCAAGACAGCACGTGAGATTAAGGTTCAGACAGTCTGGCTCCAGCATCCATGCTCTTCATCATTAAGATCTATTATCTCTTAATAAATACTGATTTCCTTCTCACCACTCTTGCCGTCTAAAGAAGCCTTTCCTGCCCAGGTATGTGTGAACAGTCCTTACTGGACAGTGGTCATGAACTGCCTCGGACGCCATCTTAGGCCATGAGTTCGGCTTTGTCCACTTGGTATCTAACAGCCCGCTCAGTCTCTCGTGTGTTGCTTGCTGGGCCAGGACCCTCAACCCTGTAGCATTCCAGGAGAAATATCTGTTTTGTGGGTTCCTTATTACAACATCTTGGCATTCTTGCCTAGGACGTTTGGGGTATGGTGTGAGAAGAGCATGTGCTCTGGGAACTCATAACTCAGCCACTTTCTAGTCAGATAACCTCAGTCAGGTCCCATAACCTGAGCTGCAGTTAACCCACATAGATCAAGTAAGGTTCATTTTACTATGTGGAGGCTGTTGGGAGGATAAATAGGAAAAAGGCATGACATCGCTCCTGAAACGTTATAGATGCTCAGTAAGTGGCCATTCCTTTCCTTCTTGTCAAACTTCACAGAACGTACATCAAGGCCTGCCTCCCAAGGCTCTCCTTGCCGGGCCGACACAACACCATCCACTGTGTAACAGATCCTTTAGGTGCTCCTGGCTCTTATTTTCACTCACTGTTTTCCTCTTTGTTGTCTGTCAGGGGGCCTAGTGAATTTGATCTGGATTTTCAAGAGAAGGCAATTACCAGACAGGCTTGGTGAAAGCAGGCTGAAAATGGACTTTTAAAAAAGTTAACACAACTTTGATGTGAACCGCCGCCTGGCCAGGAGGAGATGCCAATTTACTGCGGGTAGAATTTAACAATTCCCAGGGTAAATAGTACTCTCATGTGGGTGCCCCAGTAATGATTTGAGACACCAGCTTTCACATTAGTCCAAGTTATTCAGCAGCTTCAAGGCAAAACTGAATGATTTATTAGGAGTTTCACAGAAAGTCATGCTGGGGTTTGAAGAGCAAATTCCCAAAGAGGAATTGGGTTAGAAACAGGAGTAGAAACCATTGTCATTGGTTTAAAAGGTGTCACTTGATGTGTTTTAAAAAGTCATGATGCGAAGATGTATTTGTGTTTCTCCTGGTTCTGAAGCTACCAGCTTTCGTTCCTTGCCTGACAGTTCAAACAGAGCAGCCCACACCTTTCCTCCATGCGTCCTTCATGAGGAAATAGGAAGTGTGCTATCAGACTCACCTGTACTTTGGAGATGGGGACACCTGCCTCAGGGTTGTTAGGAAGATGGAAGGGATGATCGTCCTTCCCTTACCCCACAAAGGATCTCACATCATTTTTTACCTGTTGGAGGTAGAAAAAGAAGGAAATCTCTTAGAACTGCGGCTCTTAGATTTCTTTTTGGAAATCTACCATCATATTATATGTGCGTGTATGTATTTGTGTGTGTGTGTATTCCTTTATAGCCCTGTATAGAAAACGTCCCATGTGGTCTGTCCTCCTAAAGATGTCTGCCTTACTTTTTTTCTTTTCCAATGAGATTTATTTTTTTATTATGCTAGACACCATACAGTACATCATTAGTTTTTGATGTAGTGTTCCATGAGTCATTGTTTGCGTGTAACACCCAGTGCTCCGTGCAATACGTGCCCTCCTTAATACCCATCACTGGGCTAACCCTTCCCCCCACCCTCCTCCCCTCTAGAACCCTCAGTTTGTTTCTCGGAGTTCATAGTCTCTCATGCTTCGTCTCCCCCCCCCAATTTCCCCCCCTTCATTTTCCCCTTCTTTCTCCTAATGTCTTCCTTGCTATTCCTTATGTTCCACAAATAAGTGAAACCATATGATAATTGACTTTCTCTGCTTGACTTATTTCACTTAGCATAATCTCCTCCAGTC